ATTATTATTATTATTATTATTATTATTATTATCATTATTATTAATATGATTATTATCATTATTATTATTATTATTATTATTATTATTATTATTATTATTATTATTATGATTATTATCATTATCATTATCATTATCAATATTAGATGGGGATATGGATATTGATGATAAGTAATATGAAGATGTCCGTGTTCTAAAAGTATTATCATTTTATAAAATATCTTCAAGGAATAGAGAATAATGAAACACTTGCAAAGAGTTCAAAAGATAGCAAGAGTTGAAGAGTTGAAAGCAAGCTTTTATTATGATTATTGTCATTAGTATTAGTATTATTATTATGATTATTATCATTATCATTATCATTATTATTATTATTATTATTATTATGATTATTATAATCATTACCATTATTATTATTATTATTATTATTATTATCATTATCATTATTATTATTATTATGATTATTATCATTATCATTATTATTATTATTATTATTATTATTATTATTATTATTATTGATACAGAGTAATAGAAAGATGTGTGAGACCCCTTTCCCTTTTCTTTTCTTCGCCAAACTCAAGAACCCTCAACTCTCACTCTCTTTAACTCTTACTCTCTACTCTCGATTCTCCTTTTCTCTCTTTTGAGCTTGTGGTTTTTGGTGGCTGAAGGTGCTGATTGAAGGTTGGATTTCTTGTTGAACCCGTGCGGAGCTTCTTTCCTTCATCTTCTTCTCCGACTCTCTTCTCCTCCGTTCTTCATCTTTCTATTCCCAAAAGCTCGGAATCTTTGCCCGAGGTAAGGGAAGCTAGTTTTGTTGTTGATTTTGATTGAGAATGAGTTTTGCAAGCTCAATTTCTGTTGATGTTGGTTGAATTTTTGGTAGAAATGTTCCTTTTGAAGTTTTGAGGTTTTGATGGAAATTTTTGGGTTTTCCTTAAATTGTGATTGCATGAGTAAAAAGAGGTTGTTTTTGAACTCTTGGATGAAAATGTGGTATCTTGGATGGATTGCATGTGGAGTTTCTTGATTATTTTGCAGGTTTTTGAAGAGATTTTGAAAGTATGAGGTTTGCTGCTGAACTCGCGCTGAGCGCAGTTCTTCGCGCCGGGCGCCTGGCCACCTGAGGGTAGCATTTAGGCAAGCCCGCCGGGCGCAAAGATGTGTGCATCGGGCGTGCTTGAAGATGTTAGCCTCTGGATGGCCCACGCCGGGCGAGGGTTGAACCGCGCTGGGCGCGATGTCGGTTGTGACTTGTTTTTGGGCTTCTGGCATGGCGCTGAGCGCGATCTTGGTCGCGCTAGGCGCGGGGACTCCATGGAGTCTCTGCCATGGGGGCGCCAGGCGCAATTCGAATTGCGCTGGGCACGAGACCAAGGGAGGTCTCTGCCTTCCCCACGCTGGGCGCGGGTTTGGGCACGCCGGGCGCATGGGACTCCTTGGAGTCTTTGCCTGGCATGCGTTGGGCGCGTGTGAGCCTGGGGCTCTGGCTGGGTCCCGCCGGGCGTAGGCATGCTTGTGCTGGGCGCGCTAGCCTCCCTGGTGCTCTCTAGTGGTACCGCATTAGGCGCAACCACGAGTGTGTCGGGCGCGGAGATGTGATTTCACTAAATGTTGTTAGAAGTTGTTTTATGCTGAGTTGAAGTTGAAGTTGATGATCATGAAGTGATGACTAGTAGATAATACTGTATAATGATGTTGAGTTGTATCAGATGAATATTGTTGTAAGATGTCTTGATGTGCTGTAAGATGATATGTAGTGCTGTAAAGTTGTGCTGTGTTGTATGATGATATGAGCTGTTGTAGGCCATAATGGCTGAGTTGTTGTAGGCCATAATGGCTGAGTTGTTGTAGGAGATCTCCGAGAGGATATGCGTGACGACACATTATTTTCCAATTGCTGGTTTGTTGTACAATCGATGAGATGTGGGCTGAAGATGTGTTGATAGTTGTAGTTGTTCATATTACTTAAATCTTGTTGTATGGTGTTCTTTTTATACTAGCTTACCCTTTGTTGTTTCCATGTGATTGGACTGCAATGATCATACTATGTATGGGAGCAGAGCAGGGATAGGTGGGTGGCTAGTGGTGAGTCTGCAGCTGGCAGGCGGAGCTGATCCTAGTAGATTTTTGTTGTTTTCATCTACTTGGTGTAGTAGCTTGGATGTATTTTTGTACATTTTGAATCTAGTCAGACTTGGACCATGTATATATGTATATTCTAGACACTATATGTATGCACTTGTTCCTTTCTGTCCGGTTTTCAGGTGTACTGTGTAGTGTGTAGTGACCAGCCGGGTCGTTACAAGATGGGGATATGGATATTGATGATAAGTAATATGAAGATGTCCGTGTTCTAAAAGTATTATCATTTTATAAAATATCTTCAAGGAATAGAGAATAATGAAACACTTACAAAGAGTTCAAAAGATAGCAAGAGTTGAAGAGTTGAAAGCAAGCTTTTATTATGATCAGAAAACACTCGATGATGCAATACACATTTACAAGTCCTATTTATAGCAAAACATAGCACTCCTAATTTACATATAAGGGTATAACATACCCTGAATTATTAAGGGTAAAACAAGAAAGTAGAAAAAGGTACAATAATTACTATAGTGGAGTCTAATCTATCACATAGGGAATCTTTCTTTATGTCTTGTAATGTCAGGGCCTTTGCTTTGTGGCAGAAAGTCTTTTGAGCGAATTTGGTCTTGAATAATTCATCCTTATCTTGAAATCTTATCTTGTTTTGGCAGAAGAATCTTTGAATAGTCTCGAATGGTTGAGCCAGCATCTTGTCTTTAATCATCTTTATGCTTTTGATATCTTTAATGAAACATGTTGTAGGGGTTAGTGGAAACCGAGTCAGATGACCCAGTTTCTTCCTTTTGAGAAGGATCTTGCAAGGCTTGAATTAACTTTAGTCTTTCTTCAAATTCATCTTGCGAAGTAGCCGATGCTAGTTCGACCATTATCTTACTTTTTTCAGCTAAGAATTTTGTTTCTTCATCTAAATCTTTTGATGGTTTGGTAATACCCAGTGAACTTGTCTTCACCCAATCATCAATCCTTTTGAGGCTTAACAGATTGATATCAAATTTTTTCCACCATTTTACTTTGATGGATCTGGTTAAGAGTAATAGATTGTTGTTGGAGTAAGGCTGTCGATACTCGTAATCCCATGACATAATCCAAGTAATGTTTTGAGAGACTATAAAGGATATAAATTTATAACCTGTTAAAAATGTTGTTTTTTGCTTGAAGTAATTAAATACTTCAGAAACTTCATTAGGAAAAATTTCTCTAATGGGTCCATGTCGCCACCGGCCCAAACGGGCCTCGGCGGTCGCGAAGGACGGTCGAGCTCGCTTTTATTTTAGTTTTGAAAAATGTATTGGATTATTAGAATGACTTGTTCTCAAACTGAGACCTTATCGATCTTATCCAATTTATTTATTAAAAGTCTCACCAATCCATATTAATCCCAAGCGGGACCCTCCATGGATTAGTGGTTTTCGCAAAAGGAGGGTTCGTGGAGTCGCCACCAATGTTTTACTCAAAACATTGGAAAAAGGGATAAGGCAATTGATTTTATAAATCAACTTTGGCCATTACAACCAGAGTTGGGTAAGGGAGTCGGTTACGCGTGGGGAAGGTGTTAGCACCCCAC